CTTCTATTTTGTGGAACACTTTAAGGAGAATGGGTATTATGTCTTCTCTGTGTGTCTGATAAAATTCCGAGGTAAATCCGTCCGGCCCCGGGGTTTTGTTCTTGGGTAGTTTTTTGATTACTGTTTCAATTTCTTTGCTTGTAATTGGTTTGTTTAACTTTTGTGTTTCTTCCTTGGTCAGTCTTGGGAGGTTGTATTTTTCTAGGAAGTTGTCCATTTCTTCTAGGTTTTCCAGCTTGTTGGCATATAGGTTTTCATAGTAGTCTTTAATAATTCTTTGTATTTCTGTGGAGTCTGTCGTGATTTTTCCATTCTCATTTCTGATTATGTTGATTTGTGTTGACTCTCTTTTTCTCTTAATAAGTTGGGCTAGAGGCTTATCTATTTTGTTTATTTTCTCAAAGAACCAGCTCTTGGTTTCGTTGATTTTTGCTATTGTTTTATTCTTCTCAATTTTGTTTATTTCTTCTCTGATCTTTATTATGTCCCTCCTTCTGCTGACTTTAGGCCTCATTTGTTCTTCTTTTTCCAGTTTTAATAATTGTGATGTTAGACTATTCATTTGGGATTGTTCTTCCTTCTTCAAGTGTGCCTGGATTGCTATATACTTTCCTCTTAAGACTGCTTTCGCTGCATCCCACAGAAGTTGGGGCTTAGTGTTGTTGTTGTCATTTGTTTCTATATATTCCTTGATCTCTATTTTGATTTGTTCATTGATCCATTGATTATTTAGTAGCATGTTGTTAAGCCTCCATGTGTTTGTGAGCCTTTTTGTTTTCTTTGTAGAATTTATTTCTACTTTCATACCTTTGTGGTCTGAAAAATTGGTTGGTAGAATTTCAATATTGTGGAATTTACTGAGGCTCTTTTTGTGAGCTAGTATGTGGTCTATTCTGGAGAATGTTCCATGTGCACTTGAGAAGAATGTATATCCTGTTGCTTTTGGATGTAAAGTTCTATAGATGTCTATTAGGTCCATCTGTTCTAGTGTGTTGTTCAGTGCCTGTGTGTCTTTACTTATTTTCTGCCCGGTGGATCTATCCTTTGGGGTGAGTGGTGTGTTGAAGTCTCCTACAATGAATGCATTGCAGTCTATTTCCCTCTTTAGTTCTGTTAGTATTTGCTTCACATATGCTGGTGCTCCTGTATTGGGTGCATATATATTTAGAATGGTTATATCCTCTTGTTGGACTAAGCCCTTTATCATTATGTAGTGGCCTTCTTTATCTCTTGTTACTTTCTTTGTTTTGAAGTCTATTTTGTCTGATATTAGTACTGCAACCCCTGCTTTCTTCTCACTGTTGTTTGCCTGAAATATGTTTTTCCATCCCTTGACTTTTAGTCTATGCTTATCTTTGGGTTTAAGGTGAGTTTCTTGTAAGCAGCATATAGATGGGTCTTGCTTTTTTATCCATTCTATTACTCTATGTCTTTTGATTGGTGCATTAAGTCCATTTACATTTAGGGTGACTATTGAAAGATATGTACTTATTGCCATTGCAGGCTTTAGATTCGTGGTTACCAAAGGTTCAAGGTTAGCTTCTTTAGTATCTTACTGCCTAACTTAGCTCGCTTATTGAGCTGTTATATACACTGTCTGGAGAGTCTTTTCTTCTCTCCCTTCTTATTCCTCCTCCTCCATTCTTCATATGTTGTGTGTTTTGTTCTGTGCTCTTTTTAGGGGTGCTCCCATCTAGAGCAGTCCCTGTAGGATGCCCTGTAGAGGTGGTTTGTGGGAAGCAAATTCCCTCAGCTTTTGCTTGTCTGGGAATTGTTTGATCCCACCATCATATTTAAATGATAGTCGTGCTGGATACAGTATCCTTGGTTCAAGGCCCTTCTGTTTCATTGCATTAAGTATATCATGCCATTCTCTTCTGGCCTGTAGGGTTTCTGTTGAGAAGTCTGATGTTAGCCTGATTGGTTTTCCTTTATAGGTGACCTTTTTCTCTCTAGCTGCCTTTAAAACTCTTTCCTTGTCCTTGATCCTTGCCATTTTAATTATTATGTGTCTTGGTGTTGTCCTCCTTGGATCCTTTCTGTTGGGGGTTCTGTATAATTCCATGGTCTGTTCGATTATTTCCTCCCCCAGTTTGGGGAAGTTTTCAGCAATTATTTCTTCAAAGACACTTTCTATCCCTTTTCCTCTTTCTTCCTCTTCTGGTATCCCTATAATACGAATGTTTTTCCTTTTGTATTGGTCACATATTTCTCTTAGTGTTGTTTCATTCCTGGAGATCCTTTTATCTCTCTCTATGTCAGCTTCTATACGTTCCTGTTCTCTGGCTTCTATTCCTTCAATGGCCTCTTGCATCTTATCCATTCTGCTTATAAATCCTTCCAGGGATTGTTTCACTTCTGTGATCTCTTTCCTGACATCTGTGATCTCCTTCCGGACTTCATCCCACTGCTCTTGCATTTTTCTCTGCATCTCATCCCACTGCTCTTGCATTTTTCTCTGCATCTCATCCCATTGCTCTTGCATTTTTTTCTGCATCTCTGTCAGCATGTTCATGATTTTTATTTTGAATTCTTTTTCAGGAGGACTAGTTAGGTCTGTCTCCTTCTCAGGTGTTGTCTCTGTGATCTTTGTCTGCCTGTAGTTTTGCCTTTTCATGGTGATAGAGATAGTTTGCAGAGCTGGTACAAGTGACCGCTGGAAGAGCTTCCCTTCTTGTTGGTTTGTAGCCTTTTCCTGGGAGAATAGCGACCTCTAGTGGCTTGTGCTGGGCAGCTGTGCGCAGACAGGGCTTCTGCTTCCTGCCCAGTTGCTTTGGGGTTTATCTCCGCTGTTGCTGTGGGCTTGGCCTGGCTGGGGCTGTTCCTCCAAAATGGTGGAGCCCCGTTGGAGGGGGAGCAGCCAGGAGACTATTTATCTCCGTAAGGGGCCTCTGTGCTCCCTGCTGCCCAGGGGGTTAGAGTGCCCAGAGATCCCCAGATTCCCTGCTTCTGGTCTAAGTGACCTGTCCTGCCCCTTTAAGATTTCCAAAAAGCACTCTCCAAACCAAAACAACAACAGCAACAATGAGAGAGGGAACAGAAAGGAAAAAAAAAAGAAAAAACACGCGATTTTTTTTTTTTTTTCCCCAGGTGCCGGTCCCAGGCACCCGCGCACTGGTCCTGCTGCCCTGTCTCCCTAGCACCAGGGTCCCTGTCCTTTCAAGGCTTCCAAAAAGCACCCACCCACCGGTCCCGCAGGGAAGGAACGCTCAATATTCTTGGTCCTCAGGCACTGGTCCCACGCACCCGCTCACCAGTCCCGCCGCCCTGCCTCCCTAGCACCGGGGTCCCTGTCCCTTCAAGGCTTCCAAAAAGCACTTGGCAAAAAGAGAGAAAAAAAAGGGGAAAAACGCGCGATTTCTTCCGTCCTCAGGTGCTGGTCTCAGGCACCCACCCACCGGTCCCACAGGGAAAAATGCGGGATATTCTTTGTCCTCAGGTGCCGGTCCCAGGCACCCGCTCACCAGTCCCGCCGCCCTGCCTCCCTAGCACCGGGGTCCCTGTCCCTTTTAGGCTTCCAAAAAGCACTCGCAGAAAAGAGAAAAAAAAAAGGGGAAAAACGCGCGATTTCCTCTGTCCTCAAGTGCCGGTCTCAGGCACCCGCCCACCGGTCCCGCAGGGAAAAACGGGGGATATTCTTTGTCCTCAGGCGCCGGTCCCAGCCACCCGCTCACCAGTCCCGCCACCGTGCCTCCCTAGCACTGGGGTCCCCGTCCCTTCAAGGCTTCCAAAAAGCGCTCGCCAAAAAGAGAAAAAAAAAAAAAGGGGAAAAACGCGCGACCTCCTCCGTCCTCAGGCACCGGTCTCAGGCACCCGCCCCCAGGTCTCGCAGGGAGAAACGCGGGATATTCTTTGTCCTCCGGCGCCGTTCCCAGGCACCTCCTCACCGGTCCCGCCACCCTGCCTCCCCAGCAACGGGGGCCCGTCCCTCTAAGGCTTCCAAAAAGCGCTCGCCAAAAAAAAAAAAAGCTCCGGTTTCTCTCCACCCGCCGGGAGCCGGGGGGAGGGGCGCTCGGGTCCCGCCGGGCTGGGGCTTGTATCTTACCCCCTTCACAAGGCGCTGGGTTCTTGCAGGTGTGGATGTGGTCTGGATGTTGTCCTGTGTCCTGTGGTCTCTATTTTAGGAAGATTTTTCTTTGTTATATTTTCATAGCTCTATGTGTTTTTGGGAGGAGATTTCCACTGCTCTACTCACGCCGCCATCTTGGCTCCCGCCCCCCTAGAACAGATTTTATAACAAAAGTTCTTTTTCTGCCTGCCCACTAATATTAAAAGAGTCATCTATCCAAATGAAAATTTAGATTTTGCTTAAAAATTAGTAAATAATGTTAAAATTGTTAAGAGAAATGACAGCATCTGAATGATCCTTGCATTCTTTATAATTGTGGTTCTAACCCATGCTCAAGAGGGTTTTCTTCTAAAAGTTACAGTTAAGGTAGCAATCTGGCCTGGTTATTGATTAAAGCACATGAAAGAGGGAGCATAGGTCCCTCTGCTGTTGAGAGTAATCTGCTTATAGATTATAACTTCCTCTGCTTCTTCTCTTAATTCCCTTTATTGCTAAGGTCATGCTAAATCTGTTGTCATCTATTGAGGTGCTGTGAATGGTAAAAAAGCATTTTTCCAAGGAGAGAAGGAAAAAGAATGAGATTTTTAAAAAAAAAAATCAGATTGAGGTTGTTTGTATATCAGCATGGTTCCTTAAGTGGACTGGAAGGGTCCTTGGGAGTTCTGAAGGGATAGGTATATTCTGATAGAGTGAAGACAGACATATTTATAGTAGAAACTTTTTATTTGCTTTTCCTGTCACTCATTCTGGCCAGAGCCCATCTGGGTCTAAGAATCTAAGAAGATAGTGTGAGCTTTCTTTATGGAGGAGCAGGTTTTGGAAACAAATTCAAATTTAGCAGGCAAGTAAAACTAGTTTTGTCATATGATTGTGTGGTAATGATAATGAAAAGGATGCAAAATTCATGATTTCTTTTATTTTCATTTTGCAGTTTAATTGGTTGGGGTCAAATAAGAAGAGGAGTGACAATCAAGCCAACAGTAGATGATGACTGAAGAATTCCTGTTAAATAATACATTTGGATGAATTTTGAATTTCTTTTAACCTAGGGGTATGTATTCATAGCAATATTGAGGAATTAATTTCACAGCTGATTACCTTAGTAGTAGCTATAAGGTTATTCTCATTTTTTGGTGATTAAATTTAACCTTTAGTATTAAAATAGGATCTACAATAAATGTAAATTGTCATAATGTTGGGTTGAATCTACATTTTAGCAGAAATTAAACATTGTCAAATAATGTCTAATTTATATATCAGTTTTGAAATGAAATATGTACAGCAGGTTTGAAATGAAACTGCTATAACCAGCCTTTGCTGTAGTATGCATATCACTGAACCTGTCTGAAATAAAAATTTTCTTCCTATTTTTCATGATTGTCTTTGAGTAGCTCCAGGCTTGAAGAACTGTTATACCAGTAAAAATTTGAAGATACAAATTCTCGAAAATCAGCTTTCCTTGGCCTCACATTTTTATATTGCTTTATCTTTGAAATTTTGAGTGAAAAGTAGATTAATAAACACTATCCTTTAGAGCAAGAGTGCTTGTTCCCATGGACACACCTTTCCCTCCCCTTCCTCTCATTTCTTGGACTAGAATGCAGGAAATTAGACCCAGAAGTGCTCACTCTTTACCTGTGGGGTCCTGTGATTGTTTCTGCATTGGTTTATGTGTGAAACCCAACAAGCTTCCCTCATTGGAAAATACTGTTACACCAGATGATTCTAGATAAGTAACAGATCTTTGTAGGCCTTGTTTTATGTTTTTTCTTAACTGCTTAATGGATACAGTAAATGATGTAAGTTCTAATATTAGTAAACTTTGGACTTTTTAAGAGGTAAATGACATTAGAAAGCAAAGGGAGAGCCCTTTGATTTTTAATTTAATCTCCATGTTCCTGTACTTTACTTGTGTTATGCATTTTAACCTATATTTTTTGTTTCATAAGAGTGTTAGAGCAGTGATTCCCAACTCTGGCTGACCTTAGAATTGCTGGAGAAACTTAAAAAAAATGTCCTGCATGAACATATCTCCCCAGGCAAGGGAAACAAAAGCAAAAATGAACAAGTGGGACTACATCAAACTGAAAAGCTGTACAGCAAAGAACACCACCTATAGAACAAAAAGGCATCCTACAGTATGGGAGAATATATTCATAAATGACAGATCTGATAAAGGGTTGACATCCAAAATATATAATGAGCTCACACACCTCAACAAACAAAAAGCAAATAATCCAATCAAAAAATGGTCAGAGGAACTGAACAGACAGTTCTCCAAAGAACAAATTCAGATGGCCAACAGACACATGAAAAGATGCTCCACATCACTAGTCATCAAAGAAATGCAAATTAAAACCACAATGAGATATCACCTCACACCAGTAAGCATCGCCACCATCCAAAAGACAAACAACAAATGTTGGTGAGGATGTGGAGAAAGGGGAACCCTCCTACACTGCTGGTGCTAATATAATGTAATACAACCATTGTGGAAAGCAGTATGGAGGTTCCTCAAAAAACTTAGAAATACCATTTGACCCAGGAATTCCACTCCTAGGATTTTACCCAAAGGAAACCAGATCCCTGATTCAAAAAGACATATACACCCCTATGTTTATCGCAGCACTATTTACAATAGCCAAGAAATGGAAGCAACCTGAGTGTCCATCAGTAGATGAATGGATAAAGAAGAAGTTGTACATATATGCAATGGAATATTATTCAGCCATAAGAAAACAAATCCTACCATTTGCAACAACATGGATGGAGTTAGAGGGTCTTATGTTCAGTGAAATAATCCAGGCAGAGAAAGACAAGTATCAAATTATTTCACTCATCTGTGGAGTATAAGAACAAAGAAAAAACTGAAGAAGCGAAACAGCAGAGTCACAGAACCCAAGAATGGACTAACAGTTACCGAAGGGAAAGGGACCAGGGAACATGGGTGGGAAGGGGGGTATAAGGGGGTGGGGTGAGGAAAGGGGGCATTACGATTAGCATGCATAATGTGTGGGGGGGTGGGGGGGCACGGGGAGGGCCGTACAACACAGAGAAGACAAGTAATGATTCTACAGCATCTTACTACGCTGATGGACAGTGACTGCAATGGGGTATGTGGGGGGAACTTGGTGATGGGGACAGTTTAGTAAACATAATGTTCCTCATGTAATTGTAGATTAAGGATACCAAAATAAAAAAAATGCCCTGCAGAGATTCAGATTTCATTGGCTTGGGGTGGGGCCCAGGTGTTGATATTTTTATTGAGAAACAAGTTTAGAGAGTGGAGAAGTAGGTGTATCAAATAACATAGAATCAGTGAGTTTTGGTAGTCTTGGTGATACTCTCCAGTTTGCTTTTTCTTAAGTTTGCATTTAATGTGAGACTTGGTGCCGCATTTATAATAATGGTGTTCTTTTGGGCATTGAAGCTGCCTTGTAGAAGTTGAGAAGGTGTGGCTGTGAGTTATTTAAATTTACAAGTTTCTAGGAAGCATATTAATGTTAAATACTTGATTGGCTTTGAAGGATTGTGTTGTAGCCTGAAGAACACATTTAAATAAAGGAAGTTTCTAATCCAAACATTAATTTTACATCTAACATGTCCCCATGTGTTTTGTAAGCACCTTCTACGAGAAGTTCTAGAATAACAAAAGACTCAAAGCTTTGCAATAGTTGACTAATTTATCGTCGGTAATCTTATGTCAAAACTGAAATCAAAGTCTGTTTCAAACATCCACATGGACTTCAACAGATTTGCAAAGCACTCTGCTTAGTGTAAATGGGTATACACAAATATGAAAACTGGGGTTTATTTTCAAAGAACTCGAAGTCAGTGCAGTGATTCTCAGCAAAAATATACCTGGTTGAGAATCTGCCTGTAATGTGATGTTACTGACACAAGTACACTGCACATGTAAATTCTGTTGGCTGTCCTGTCATATTTTCAGAATGTAACCAGTTCTCACCACTTCCCTTGCTATCATCCTATTGAAGCTACCAGTGGCTCTTGCCTTGTAACTCCTCCCTGCTTCCACTCTTGCCCTACTGCAGTCTGTTTTCAACACAGCCAGAGTTACCCTTTTTGTAAGAGAGTGCTATGTACAACTCTGAGAAGTTGTAAGGTTAGTCTCACAGAAGTGAGGAGCATGAGGACAGTCTAGCTGGGATGTCATCCAAATGATTTCCAAGCTGATCTAGAAAACTCTCCTCACTATTTCACTCTTTGTATGTAACCTCCAAAGATGGTGTGTGTGTGTTTCTAGTATAAGTGTGCAAATAGCTGCACTCTTGTAAAACTTTTGAAATCCTATTTCTAGAAACTATCATGAAACTTCCAGTGAAATGGGTGCTGTTCTGGAAATACATAAATTTTGTAAAATTTTTAATCAAGTGACGGAGAAGGTTATTAAATTGTCTCTGCAAAAGTTTCCGTAAACTTCAATATACATTCTGCCAAATTTCAAGGAATAGGTAATTTCCCTTAATTTGTTCTAGAATATGGAGAATGGAAAGGGGACCAAAAAAAGAGACATCCTAACTCTTTGTTGAAAATTACTATATCCCTGCTGCCCAAGCATGGAGAGAATACTACCAAAAACAAACTGCTAGGGAACATTTTCACAAAGTTAAGTCCAGCAATATACAAAAGGATAATGTATTCTTGTATAAACACGTTTTCTAGGTTGAAAGAAAAAAGCGTACCCTAAGGATATATTTGGTACAGTTCAAAATAATTTTTAAGACTGAGGTGATGTAGGGAAGGAAATAATTTGATGTAGTGTACTTAGCAGAGAACTATCAGAATCATCGTTTTTAATTATGAAACATTGGCATACAGTAACTTCCTTCCATAATGCCATAGTTGGAGTAAAAAGTTTCAGTTGGGTAAAATGTAGGGTTGTGAGGTTAATGAATAAATAACTAGGGTGAACTTCAGAGGATGGGAAGCAGTCAGTTGCATTGTATCAGAATTAATGTTATTGTTTGGTTTATCTATTTAAGGTCTGGAACAAGTCAAGAATGTCAGCTGCCACTTCAGTCTACAGCATTGTTCTCTGGGGTTTAGCAAATGAGAAATATTAGGAATGGAAGCAACAGAACATTACTTACAAGGTATAAAATTGTCTACTTAGAAAATACAACCCAGAAACTGAAAAACTTGAACTGCTAAGAGAGTTCAGTGAGGTGACATTTCAAGATAAACATGCAAAAATGAGTTTACTAAAAGTTAGTTTACTAATTGGTTTATACAACACACACACAAATCAGAAAAAGAAATGAGTATAAACTACAGAGGTATGAATTTAACAAGAATATGAAAGATATATTTGAATAGAACTAACATTTGCTGAAGGACAAAAAAAGGTAATGAATAATGAGAAAAAAGTATTCTTGGATGAGAATACTCAATACGGATGACTGCTTGTCTTTTTTCTATAAATTCAGTGCAATCCAGATAAAAATTTTACTAAAACTTTTTAAAGAACTTGTCCAGCTGATATTAAACATTTGGAAAAGCAAATTCTCAAGAATAGTAAACTTTTGAAAAAGAATTATGATGGGAGAGTTTACTTACATTTTAGAACATATAAAACTACAATATAGGAAGTGTGATATTCATGCAGAAATAGATCAATCACTGGAACAAACTTTATAGCCAAATATAAAATTTAGTAATACATGAGTGAGAAGGATAGGCTTCTTTAGTCCAAGTGGCTAGCCATTTCAGGTAAAAAATCTTATACTGAGACAAAATTATGAACACAGAAAATAGGTTATTTTAATAATTCAGACGAGGAAGGCAAAACAAGCCCAAAAGTCATACAGGAAAAGTTGACAGTTATAAAAGTTCAAAACTTACAGCCACAGGTATGACAGATTTGAAAGATGACAGATTGCAAGTACTTGAAACTTACATGACATGAAAGATTAATGTATTGGTAGTAAGATAAAAACTAGAAATGGGACCAAATATATATTGCTTCAGTGTAGGTAAGCTAAAGACTGGCAGGAAGAGAACTCGGGCTCATGAGCGCCCTGAATGCCACTGATTTGATTTGGGCAAAGAGAAGTTAGTGGCAGAGAAGTGATACCACAGGCAGGAGCAGATGTAGCATCTCACCTGCATAAAGTTTTTTATTCCTCAGATCATAGCAGGGAGGGACTGTGCTACTGTCAGTGACTTTCTGGTAAGGCACAGTCTTGCTGGATCATAGAAAATGAGTTTGGCTGGGCCATTCTACTTTTACTCAGAGCTCATATCACTGTTCGGGAAGAACTTAGACGAATATTCTCTTGGATGCTTTCATTTAAGGAAACATTTGCAAACACTGAGCATCAGGGAAATCACACTATTCTGCGGGGGTAAAGCACCACTATTGAATAATATGTCTGACCAGCATTTTGGCAGCAGGGAAAATCTCACAATATGTATATCTCGCAAATAATGTATAGGCTATTTATAGAAGAAATACAAGTACCCAATACACATTTGTAAGTCTGATAATATGAAACATGAAAGCAAACAATTTGATTTAGCTCACTTACTAAAATAGGCAAAAATTAAAAAGATTCATAGCAGTCATTGTTGGTGAGGATATACTGTTGGTGAGAAGTATAAACTAGTACATTATTTAAAGAGGACACTTTGATTATATCTATTAAGACTTAAAATATCTCACCTTTTGATACAGAATTCCATATCTGGGAATGTATCATAGAGAAATATTTGCTTGTGTTCACAAAGATCTATATAGCTTGTTTATTCTATTCCAGCATTGTTTATTAGAGCAACAAGTGTAAGATACCTAAATTTTACTCAAAAGGGAATGATTAAGTACATTTTGTGGTATGTTTTTTATGAAATAAAACTATAAGCCACTTTTGATTCAGCCCTGGTTAAAACTAAAGATGAAAAAGTATTTTATGAAAATCCTTGAGAGGAAATAACCTCTTATATCTAAAGTGCTTTGAGAAGTCATAATATAATATTGGCTGTTGCTCACCTCAGCAAAAAGAATGAAGAGGACTGTTCAAAGGAAAAAGCTCCATGTTGGTGTTACCAGTGAATCTGTTAGAATCACTAGATTATTTTCTCAAACAAGTTTATAAGGAGAAAGCCAAGACCAGGAAGTTAATTCATGCCACTTACACAGTCATGAAATTATATATTGAAGTTTATCACTATCAGGCTGGTATATCCATTACAATCTCTATTACTACAATAAATACTTTTTGTCAAATGTAATTTCCTCTTACAAGCATACAGTAATGTATTTCTTACAACAAATATATAAAAAGACTTAGCAGGAATCATAACTTTAAGTATTACATTCCAAAATAGTGAATAATAAATCTCATAAATAATACACATGTCAAAGTTTTCACACACAATAGGAGCTTCAACTAACCAGGAACACGTTTTAGTGATGTAAAGAGACAGAGTATGTACAGCTCGGACTTAAATGAGACCTTTATCCCTTGTGAATTCTCTTAAATCTTAGGGACTTTATGACTTCTAAATCATCTTTCAACCTTCTCCAAAGGGTTGGAAAAATATACCAAAACCCAGTTAGTCCAGTGGTTTACATTCTCAAAAACATTAATTCAGCAAACTTTTGTTTGTCTAAAAGGTTTGCATCAACTACTATTTGGACTCATGACCTATTTTTTTAAAAATTGTATTACCTTTCAAAAGACCAATTTTTGACCTTTTGGGTATTATACTTATTTCATTGATTTACCTTTATTATTTCCTTTCTTCTACTTTGTATGGACTTACTATCCTGTTCTTCACTAAGTACTTGCTAATTTTCTTTTAGCCTTTCTGCTTTCTAATATGAATATTGAAGGGCAAACATATCCCACTTGGGACTTTCATGGCAGAATTAAACAAGCTTTTATTTGTTTAGATATAATCTACATTCAATAAATTGCACAAATCTTGAGCATTCAGTTTGAGTTTTGATTATTTTCTACATGCATATATTCATCAGCCCAAACAAGATACACATTTCCATCACCCCAGGAAATTCTCTCATGCTCCTACAATAAGTAATCTTTTGAAAATCTGCCACTTAGGATATTTTTGAGATTCATTTGTAGCATGTATCAATAGTTTATTTCTTTTTATTGCTGAGTAGTATTCCACTGTAGAGATATCCCACATTTTGTTTATTCATTTATCAGTTAATGGACATTTGGATTGTTTCTGCTTTTTGTGTATTAGTAATGCTGCTATGAATATTAGTGTTTAAGTGTGTAGAAACTTCATTTCTCTTGAGTAGATTCCTAGGAGTGGAATGTTAAGTTGTATGCTTAGCCTGTGTTCTGCTTTCTAAGAAACTGGCAAATAGTCTTCCAAAGTGGCTGCACCGTTTTTCATTCCCACCAGCAATACATGAGGGTTCCAGTTTCTCTATATCCTTTCCAACACTTTAGGTATTGTCTTTTTTAAATTTATAGCCCTTTTTTTGGATATGTACTGGTATCTCATTGTGGTTTTAGTTTACATTTTCCTAAGGACTAATGATATTAAGCATCTTTTCATGTGCTTATAAGCCATTCATATTTCTTTGGTGAAATGTGTGCTCAGATCTTTTGCCCATTTTTTAGCTGGGTTGTTTGCTTTATTATTGAGCTGTAAGAGTTCTTTATATATTCTTGATACAAGTCCCTTATCAGATAAATGATTTGCAAATATTTTCTATTCTGTGGCTTGTCTTTTCATTTTCTCAATTGGATCTTTTGAAGTGCAGTTTTTAATTTTGATGAAGTCCAATTTCTCTTTTCTTTCCCCTTTATGGATTATGCTTTTGGTGTTGTATCTAAGAATTCTTTGCCTACCCCAGGGTTTTACATTTAGGTCTATGATTTTTACATTTAGGTCTATGATCTATTTTTTTTCCTTTTTTTCTTTCTGTATTCTTTTTCTATGATCTATTTTGAGTTCATATTTTTATGGTGTGAGATAAAGGTCTAAGTTCATTTTTTCCTGTATGGAAAAATTTGTTGTTCCAAACTATTTGTTGAAAAGACTATCCTTTCTTCAGTGGATTGTCTTGGCACCTATGTTGAAAATCTATCCAACATAGGTATAAAAGTTGATTTCTTAAATTCTTTTCTGTTTATCTATATACCACAGTATCTTGATTACTGTGGCTTTACAAAAAGTTTTTAAATTGAGTAATGTAAATCCTCCAACTTTGTTTTTTTCTTCTAAATTGTTCCCTATTCTATGTCCTTTGAATTTCCATAGAAATTTTAAGTTCAGTGGCTCAATTTCTACAAAAAATCCTACTGGAATTTTGATAGGGATCACATAAAATTTATAGATCCAGTTTGGAGGGAATTACTCTTGACAGTATTGTTCCAATTCATGAATATGGAATGTCTTTTCATTCCTTTAGATTTTCTTTTATTTCTTTAGTAATGTTTTATTAGTTTTCCATATACTAGTCTTACATTTCTTTTGTTAAGTTAATTCCTAACTGTTTGGTTAATTTTGAGGCTATTACTAATAGAATTGTTTTCTTAATTTCAGTTTTGGATTGTTTGATGCTCATATATAAAAATATAGTTGATTTTCATGTATTGGTCTTATATCCTGTGGCCCTGATAAACTTGTTTATTAGTTCTAGTTGTTTTTTTTTTGTGAATTCCTTGGGATTTTCTATATATAGGATCATGACATCTTCAAATAGACAGTTTTACATTGTCCTTTCCAATTTGGTTGCCTTTAATTTTTTTCCTCTTCTTTATTGCACTGGTTAGAACCTCCAGAATGATGTTGAATAGAAGTGTCAATAACAGACATCTTTGTTTTATTTCTAATTTTGAGAGAGAGAGAAAGCATTCAGTCTACTATCATTAAGTATGGTATTAGCTGTGGGTTTTTTAGGTTAAGGAAGTTTCCTTTGATTCTTTGTTGATAGTTTTTATCATGGATGGATGATGGACTTTGTGAACGTATTTTTCTGTATCTATTGAGGTGAGCATGTGTTTTTTGTCACTTACTTTTTTTAAACACAGTATATTATGTTAATTGACTTTGGATGTTACATCAGCCTTGTATCTCCAGGATAAATCCCACTTGGTCATAGTGTATAATCCTA